GCGGGATTACAGGCTGAGCCACTGAGCCCGGCGGAATGCTATTTTAAATAGCATGGTCAGGGCCAAGTGTGGTGGCTCATGTCTGTAATCCTAGCACTTTGGGAAGCTGAGGCAGAAGAATTGCTTGAGACAAGCCTGAGCAACATAGTAAGACCTCTCCACACACACACAAAAATTAACTGGGTGTAGTAGCACATGCCTTTAGTCTTAGCTACTCCTGAGGTTGAGGCAGAAGGATCACCTGAGCCCAGGAGGTTGAGAATGATGAACCATGATTTGCCACTGCACTCTAGCCTGGGTGACAGACTGAGACAGACACCAACTTCAATAAATAAATAGCATGATCAGGGAAAGCCTTATCCTTACTGAGTTGGTGACATCTGAGCAGACTTGAAGGAGGTGAAGGATTTACTGATGCAAATGTCTGGGGGAAGAGTGCTGTATGAATAGCTGGGACTATAGGTGTGTATCACCATACCCAGCTAATATTTTTATTTCTTATTTTATAGAGATGGAGTCTTGCTCTGTTGCCCAGGCCAGTCTTGAACTCCTGAGCTCAAGCTATCCTCCTGTCTTGGCTTCCCAAAGTATTGGGATTTCAGCATAAGCCACTGTGTCCAGACTATTTCACTTATTATTATTATTATTATTATTTGAGTTGGAGTCTCACTCTGTCACCCAGACTGGAATGCAGTCTGGGTGCACTCCGGCCACCACAGCCTTGACCTGCTGGGCTCCAGCGATCCTTCCACCTCAGCCTTCCGAGTAGCTGGAACTACAGGCGTGCGCTACCACGCCCAGCTAATTTTTTTGATTTTTTGTAGAGATGAGGTCTTGCCAAGTTGCCCAGGCAGGTCTCGAACCCGCGGGCTCAGGCAATCCACTCACCTCAGCCTCCCAAAGTGCGGGATTACAGGCTGAGCCACCGAGCCCGGCTTATTTCACTTATTATAATGTCCTCAAGGTTTATCTAAATTGTAGCATATGTCAAAATTTCCTTTTTATTTTTATTTTGAGTTGGAATCTCACTCCATTGCCCAGGGTAGAGTGCAGTGGTACGCTCACGGCCACCACAGCCTTAACCTGCTGGCCTCAGCCTTCCAAGTAGCTGGAGTTACAGGTGTGTGCTACCATGCCCAACTAATTTTTTATTTATTGTAGAGACGAGGTCTCACCAAGGTACCTGGGCTGGAAATTTTCCTTTCTTTTTAAGGCTGAATAAAATACCACATTTAGGTTATCCATTCATCCGCTGATGGGCACTTGGATTGTTTCCACATTTTAGCTATTGTGAATAATGCTGCTATGGTATTGAACGAACATGAGGCGCTGAGCTGTTGAACATAGGTGTACACATATCTCTTTGAGACCCTGCTTTCAATTATCTTGGATTTATACCTAGAAGTGAAATTACTGGATCATATGGTAATTCTACTTTTAATTTTTTTAAGAAATGTTATGCTCTTTTCCATAGTGGCTGTACCTTTTTACATTCCCACCAACAGTGTACAAAGGGTTTCAGTTTCTCTACATTTTCAACCAACACTTCTTGTTTTTTGGTTTTTTGATAGTAGCCATCATAGTGGGTGTGACATGGTATCTCATTGTATTGCATTTTTCTAATGATTAGTGATACTGAACATCATTTCATGTACTTTTTGATCATTTGTATATCTTCTTTGAAGAAAAGTTTATTCATGTCCTTTGCCCATTTTTTGAACTTTTTGTTGTTGTTTTTTTTTTTTTTAGGAGATCTCTATATATTCTGGATATTAATCTCTTCATATTATAGAATTTTTCATAGAAAAAGCATTTATAATCCCTCTTCTTAGAACTTCCTCTGTATTTGTTCTCCTGAATTTCCTTCTTTTCTCCTTTTGCATGTTATTTTCCTTAATCATTTTATTTTATTTTTTTGAGTTGGAGTCTCACTCTGTTGCCCAGACTGGAGTGCAGTGGCCGCTCCCGGCCACCGCAGCCTCGACCTGCTGGGCTTCGGCGATCCTTCCGTCTCAGCCTTCCAGGTAGCTGGAACTACAGGCATGTGCTACCACATGTGGCTGATTTTTTTATTTATTGTAGAGATGAGGTCTCACCAAGTTGCCCAGGCGGGTCTCGAACCCGCAGGCTCAGGCAATCCACTCACCTCAGCCTCCCAAAGCGGGGGATTACAGGCTGAGCCACCAAGCCCAGCTTCTTTAATCATTTTAATTAGTGCATTTTAAATTTCATATCATCTTTTGATGAGGATTTTAAAAATCAGTTTTAGTGACTATATTATATTGTTTTATATTAATGTACAAAAATTTCTTTAACCATTTATTATAGGGCACTTTTGTTTCTAAAATTTTTCCTATTATAAGTAATACTGGGATAAAATCTTTTTGGTTACAGTAGATAATTTTTTAAAAATACAACTGAACTTTTTTTAGACATCTGTATTATTAAGTGAAATAGTCCTCAGAGAGAGAGATCTCTTACAGGTTTTGATGTCATGCTTATCCTTAATTTGTAGAAACATTCAAGATAGATTTTCATATTTTTCTGTCTTTTGAAAGAATTTACCTA